CAAAAACCATTATTTCCCATTAAATTATATCTCACAAACGAGTGTGTATGAAAAATTCAATTTCTTTTTTGTTGTTTGTTTAAACTTGAACATTTGATGATCGTTTGCCAGTTTTCGTCAGGCGACAATCGAATCGATTGTATTTCGATAAAGTAACAAAAATACATTTTTCGTTTGTTTGCTGAATTAACAAAAATAACGAAAAATACACATATACTTTTGATATTTGACGTTAAAACACTGAATAGCTAACGGTAATTCATGATATATTCAATTTTTTTTTCACCGTGAAAAACAAACAAACTCAAAGTCAGTAAACAAACTTGAAGCACATGTGCTTCATTCATTTCAAACGGATCATGTTCAGGGACTTTTTATATCCAATTTTCATGGGGTGTTCGTCTTTTTCTTTTGTAAATTGGCACAAACTGTTCAATGGAATCGATTTTAAGCCGTTCAATTGATTTTAAATCGACTTTAAATGATTTTTTTACAATAAGGCCAATTCATTATAGAGAACAACTTAGTACCATACATATAGAAATAGTACGCAGTTTTTCAATATAAAGTCAAGAACCATGGCATGGTATAGGTTTCAGCTGGAAACCATAAATTATTTAAATAAACCTACTTGCTGTCCCTCTCTCTGATCTAACTATAGACTTGCGTCTTTTTTTTCGTGAGAAATAACATCGGAAATTGCGGTTCAGATTACGTCATTCAAATGTAGTTTAATTTTTGGAATGATGTTCGACAACTGTGAAAAATGTAAAATTTCGAATCCATCAATTTTGGTATCGATTTGAATTCAATTAGGCCGATTCACACTCCAAATCTAGTAACAGCGGTTTATAACACACTTTCCCCGCTGATGCGGCACCAAAAATTTAGACATAGAAAATTCTCAATTGATAAAGTTGTGAATTCATTGACCCGCTTTTGAGTACACGTATTCAATTCGAATTTGAATGGAGCAATCGATCAAAAAAGCCTACTCCCCGTCTCTTACTCTCTCTCCCTGTTCGTTTCGTATTTGCCTAAGTCAATAAGAGCTTCGTTGTTGTTATTCTAGAGAGCAGAACTTTTTTTTTAGTCCAAAAACAGTCATCGAAACAAATATCAGTAATTAAAATGCGATTTAACAATGGATAGAACAAAACTTCAGCGCATTTATTCAATGAAAAAGCATTAACCAAGTCTTTTCACATACGCACATCCACACGAACACAGTTTAAGAGTAATCGCGCGCGCTCTTATTCGCAATGGGGCCCGATGTCAGTAAGCAATTTAGTCGTCAGCCCACGCAACGTCAAGTTACCATATTCGGATGATGGTTCATTTTTTGAAACAATATATCCATTGAATGTATTTGAATGATGACAAACAGCAGACACACATGTTCATCGCCTGAGACACACACACACACACACACACACACACACACACACACACACACACA